ACAGTGTTATCTAAAAAGCAAGCCTGCTGGCATTGCATTAAACCTATAAATGAAATTGTATAGAAATGACGTCTTAACAATTCTGTCTTCCTTGCCATAAATCTCACTCATTATTTCATTTTTGTTTGATTTCTTTTATCAAAGTTTGTAGTTTTCAGCATGCAGACTTAAAAATGTATACTTTGGTTGGGCACGGTGGCTCATGCCTGTAATCCCAGAACTTTGGAAGGCTGAGGTGAGTGGATCATTTGAGGTCAGGAGTTCGAGATCAGCCTGACCAACGTAGTGAAACCTCTTCTCTACTAAAAACAAAAATTAGCTGGGTGTGGTGCTGTGCACCTGTAATTCCAGTACAAAAATGCTTGAATAGGAATGGTGAGAGAGGATATTCTTGCCTTGTTTCTGATATTGGGAAAAAACATTGACCTGTAAGTTTAATATTAGCTGTCAATGTTCTTCATCAAGAAGCTCCCTATTACTTATAGTTTGTTGAGAATTTTTTTCGTCATCAATAGATTTTGAATTTTATCAATTACTTTTCCTTCATTTCCTGAGATTACATGACTTTTCTTCTGTAGTCTATTAATATGATGTATCAGGTTAAGTTAAAATTTTGTGACCTCCTTTGTATTTCTGGGATAAAACATGATTGTGCTAATATTGTATTGAGGGTTTCCACACCTTTATTCATGAGAAATATTGATCTGTAATTTTCTCTCTCTTGTAATGTATTTGTGTGGACTGATATTGGGGTATTGCTGGACTCATAAAATGAATTGGGAAATATTTTTCCTATTTTATTTTCTGGGAGAGATTGTGTTGAATTGATACTGTGTCTTTCTTAAATGCTTGGTAGAATTCTCCAGCAAAACCATCTGGGACTGAAGTTTTCTTTTTTTCCTCTAAGCACTGCTTTAACTGTATCCGTCAAATGTTGATGTATTTTATTTTCATTTTAATTTCACTTTAAAATATCTTTAAATTGCTGTTGACACTTGCCCTTTTATTTATGGGTTATTATAAGTGCGTTGTTTAGTTTCTAAGTATTTTTTTCTTCTACTTTTCTGTTATTGATTTGTAGTTTACTGTTATAGTTAAAAATTAAAAGGTTTAGGCTGGGCACAGTGGCTCACGCCTGTAATCCCAGCACTTTGGGAGGCTGAGGCGGGCGGATCACAAGGTCAGGAGATCGAGAACATCTTGGTTAACATGGTGAAACCCCGTCTCTACTAAAAATACAAGAAATTAGCCGGACGTGGTGGCGGGCGCCTGTAGTCCCAGCTACTTGGGAGGCTGAGGCAGGAGAATGGAGTGAACCTGGAAGGCGGAGTTTGCAGTGAGCCGAGATTGTGCCACTGCACCCCAGCCTGGGCAACAGAGACTCCGCCTCAAACAAACAAACAAACAAACAAGATTAAAAGGTTTATATTCTTTTAGATTTGCTGAAATGTGTTTTATGGTCCAGATGCATTCTTCTGTTATTGGGTGGAGTCTGTATACGTCTGTCAATTAGGCCTAATGGTGCTGTTCAAGTCTTTGTTCTTACTGATTGTCTGTTTACTTTTCTGTACATTCCTGAGACAGAGTTGACATCTCCAGCTATAATTGTGTGGATTCATCTGTTTCTTATTCCAGTGCCATCAGTTTTTGGCTCATGTATTTTGAATCTATTGCTAGTTGCACACACATTTAAGATTGTTATAAGTTCTTGGAGAATTGACTCCTTCATGGTTATGTAATGTTTCTCTTTATCTTTGACAGTATTCCTTTCTCTAAAGTCTACCTTGTCTGATATTAATATAGTTACTCCAGTTTTCTTTTGCTTAGTATGTGTATGGTCTGTATTTTCTTTTCCTTCACTTTTTGTAACACATTTTTTCTCTCTTTATATTTCAAGCAGGTTTCTTATGTACAGCATGCAATCAAAACAATCAAATCTGACCATCTCTACCTTTTATTTGGTATGTTTATACAATTCGCAATTAATGTGATTATTGATATGGTTTCATTAAAATCCATCATTTTACCTACCATTTTCTATTTGTTCTATTTTTTCTTCATTTCTTTTTCCCATTTTTTTGGACTTCTCTTTTGTCAACTGAGCAATTTTTATGATTCCATTTTATCTCCTCTACTGAGTTATTATTCATACCTCTTCAAAAATCTTTTAGTGGTTGACCTTTGGCTCAAATATATGTCTTTAACTCATCAGCATCTACCTTCAAATAATATTGTACCACCTTGTATATAGTATAAGGACCTTAAAGCAGCACATTCTGAATTTCTCCTTCCCAGCCTTTGTGCTGTTGCTGTCATACCTTTACTGTTATATATGCTATAAACACACAATACTGTGTAACTATTTTTGTTTTAAATGTTTTTTTCTTTTAGAGCAATTAGAAACTAGAAAAAAATAAATTTAATTTTACCTTCATTTATTCCATTTCTAGCACTCTTCATTTCTTTGTGTAGTATTAAGTTTCAGTTACTATCACAGTCCTTCTACCTGAAGAACTTCTTTAACATTCTTTTTAGAGTACGTCTGCTGGAAATGCATTTCCTCTTTGAGAAAGTTATTATGTCTCCTTCATTTTTGTGAAGATATTTTTCTTGGAGTTAACAGTTATTTTCTTTTTTGTCCTTCAGCACTTTAAAAAATTCACTCCATTGTTTTCTGTTTTGCATGATTTCTGATGAGAACTCTGTTGCAAATTGCACCTTTACTCTTCTGTAATTCTTCCCCCAGCCCTGCCCTGGTCTGGCTCGTTTCAGCATTATCTCTTTGTCCTTGGCTTCTAGAAGCTTGAATATAACATGCCTACGTGTGGTTCTTTGTTTGCTTTCGTTTTGTTGTGTATGCTAGCTGGTGTTCTCTGAGCTTCTTGGATCTGTGTTCTGTTGTCTGTTGTTCATTTCAGTAAATTTCCGGTTATTATTTCTTTAAATATTTCTTCTGCTCATTCTCCCTCTTCCACTTCTAGGATTCCAGGTGTGCATATGTTAGGAGTTTGATATCGTCTCATAACTCTTGGATATTCTATTCCATCTGATGCTCATTCTTTTTTCTCTTTTTCCCAGTTTGGGTAATTGTTTTTGACCCGTATTCAAGGTCAGTGATTCTTTCTCAGCTGTGTACCATCTACTGATGAGCCCATCGAGGGCACTCTTCCTCTCTGTCTCTGCTTTTCATTTCTAGTATTTCCATTTGATTCTCCCTTACAGTTTCCATCTCTCTGTTGAAATAACCCATCTGATCATGCACTGTCCCCTTTCTTCATTAGAGCCTTCAACATCATAATCATTGGTATTTAAAATGTCCTGCCCAGTATTTCCAACGTGTATTTTTTATCTCTTATGAGTGTGATTTTTTTCCCTTGTCTTTTTGTATGCATCAGAGTTTTGTGTTAAAAGCCAGGCATCTTATACGGGCACACCCTCTTCCTACTGGACACTTTGTGGGGGGTTTAAGTTAATCTAGTTAGGAGCTGGGCTAGGTCTGAGATGTGTTACTGTGATCACTCTAACTGCTTCAAGTGGCTGTATAGATAGCTTGTGTTTAGCAATGTCTGACTCTGAATTCTAGGTTTTCCTTTTGCACTGTGCTTCAGAGAGATTCCCTATGCTTCTTCTCCTCTCCTCTCCCTTTCTCAGCACCGTTCTGCTGTTTCTGGTGTTGCAGATCTTGTTAGCTTGGTGGCAGGAGGTGGAGGTGAGTGTGCTTGTCGAGGCTCTAGACAAGCTTTAGTCTTAGGTTTGCTCTGGCCCTGGTTCTTGGGATTGTGGCCTTCTCAGATCTTCTGCTCTTTTTCTAGCCACAGTTGTGGGCTCAGTCCTCAATCCTGTCATCCTCCCTGAGGAGTAAAGTCCTCTTTCCCCCGTCTCTTTTAGCTGCAATGCGTTTTCACTGATGTCCTGCTCAGGTTCAGGCTTTTGGACCTTGATGGACAGAGGGAGAAGGGCCTGGCTGGAATTTCACACCCCTTCCACGTGACTGCTTGACCCCTCCCCGAGGTCCATCACAGTGGACACAACTTGGGGATTTTTCCCGACTTTTCTGTGAGCATCCAGTGGGGTTTGTAGAGACAGAGTCATTAGACGATGGGGAATCCTCCAAATTCTCCAGCCGCAGGAGTCTGCCCTGTCCTGCCAGCCTGCACCTGCCTTCACCAGTTTGTCTGCCATTCCTGCTGGACACTTCTTACCAACGTGCCGTTGTAAATTCCCAGTGAGTGTGCTCAGTCTCCTCTCTGAGCAGGTGTGGGCTTGGATCCAAGGACCCTGCTGCCTGCTCATGGCAGTGCCTGGGACGGTGCTGCAGCACCTGCCCAGTGCCCAGACAGCAATGCTGAGGTCCTTGTGACAGCCTCCCATGCAGGGCCTGCGTGGCAGTCTCCCTTATTATGATCATTTTTGGGCTGCAGGAACCAAGGTGCAGAGAGGTTTAGGCATTCACCCTAAGGGCCTCAGCACCAGCCGCATCTCAAGCCTGCCAGCCTGGCCCCAATGCCTTGGCCTTTCCTACCTTCTCCTTTGTCCACACCATGTGGGAGGCAATAGCACATCCAGGCGCAGGGCCGGGCCGTCCCACCCCCCGCCTGGGCAGAGGGGTACCATGGAGCTTAATCTGTCTCTGGGAGGTGACCCGTACATGGAATCTGTCGGGCAGCCCAGGGCTTGCCAGTTTAAGGATGCACGATTTTACTCCAGGTCAATCATCCCCCAGGCTGCCCGAGGCTTTGGAGCTTGCTGAACAAACTCCTGTTCTCTTCCCACGGACTGACTCATCTGGAAGCTTCCATCTGGGTAGTGGGCTGGGCTAGCTCTGGGAGGCCACGTGGCGTCACCCCAGACGATTTCGAGCACCCCTACAAGGGCTGTCCATTCAAAGAACACGCCTGAGCCTCTGGCTTCCTCCGAATAATGAGGCCGTTGTTACGCAAGGGCCCCGGTTAAATTGCCCCCAAACGGGGACTGGGATGCGCTTACTGCTGCGCTGCCGCTTGGTCAGCCGGCGTCCGGGATGGGAGCGCTCCTGCATTTTCCATGACTGCGGGGCCTGTTCCTTGCGCCTGTCTGGTCGCGTCACATCATGGAGGGTTTCTCGGGGCGGCCGGCCGACTCTGAGCACAGCCGGGGTGGTGTTTGCAGCACAGCTGCTGCCTAGGCCTTGCTGCGGAGGTGCTGGGCCACGGCCCCGTGGGGGCAGATCTGTGGGGCCATCGGCATGTCCTTTGAAAACGGGCATTTCCCCAAGTCATTCAGGTGGAGGGGAGAGCGAAGCCAAATGGGACACCGGCCCCCCCACACTGCCCCGGCTCCTGCATTTCCAGAGATGGAAACGTGGAAAGTAGCTGGGAATGGCTCATGATTGCCTGAACCATACAAAGGCTGGCACTGTGAGTGTGAACGCGTGTGTTGGGGAACGTGTTTGTGCCTGCACCTGTGTGTATGAATGTGTGTGCACGTGTGCATGAATGTGTGCACCTGCACCTGTATGAATGTGTGCACACATGTGTGCATGAATGTGTGCGCTTGCACCTGTGTGTATGAATGTGTGCACACATGTGTGCCTGAATGTGTGTGCCTGTACCTGTGTGTATGAATGTGTGTGCACTTGTATGAATGTGTGTGCCTGCAGCTGTATGAATGTGTGCCCTCATGTATGTATGAATGTGTGTGCCTGCACCTGTGTGTATGAATGTGTGCACATGTGTGCCTGAATGTGTGTGCCTGCACCCGTGTGTATCAATATGTGTGCACATGTGTGTATGAGTATGTGTGCCTGCACCTGTGTGTACGAATGTGTGCACGTGTGTATGAATGTGTGTGCCTGCACCCGTATGTATGAATGTGTGTGCACGTGTGTGTCTGAATGTGTGTGCCTGCACCTGTGTGTGTGTGTGCACGTGTGTGCCTGTATGTGTGTGCCTGCACGTGTGTGTATAAATGTGTGTGCACATGCATGTGTGCCTGCACCTGTGTTTATGAATGTGTGTGCACTGGCATGGAGTGTGCATGTACATGAACGTACATGTGCATGCACTTATGTGTGTGCATGGATCTGTGTGCATGTGTGTGGAGTATGCATGTGCATAAATGTATGTGCATGTGTATGAATGTATGTGCATGTGTGCACACGTGTGGAATGTGTGGGTGTGCATGTGAATGAATATGTACACAGGTGTATTGTGTGCATGTGTGTGCACAAGTGTGTGGGTGTATGTGAATGTGTGCATTGTGTGAATTTGTACATGTATGTGCACACATGCGTGTGTGGACCCACATGTGCATATGTGCATGGTGTGCATATGTGTTTGAGACGGAGAGAGAGCTTATCGTGGGCACCGTCCATGCCCGGCAGATTCCCAGCAAGTGAATCAATGATTCAATAACTCAATAATTATCAATTAACCAATAACTCAAAGAAGGGGAGGCATTTGACACTCACGGGCCAACACCCAACCTGCTGCACAGGGCGTCAGACACACCGTGGGGTCATAGCACAGACCTGGATTTCCTATTTCCAAATGGTGAGGATTATGAACATTTTGTTTCTTAGGATCTTGAAAATGTGAGTTGGACTGCGTCATCCCCGCCCCTGCCTCAAATCCCCTCCGTGGTTGCCTACAGCACAGCTTCAAGCTCCTGGGTTCTGCTTCCCGGACCTGCAGCGCTGGCCCCAGCCTGGCCGAGAGAGCGTTTGTTCACCCAAGACCTTTCTCCTCCTGCCCTCGTGGAGCCTCCACACGGAGTAAACAACGACTTCTCTGAGCCTTGATCGCTCTGTTTGTAAAATGCAGAGAAAACGCCTTCCTAGCTGAGCAGGAGGATTGGGGGCCGCCGCCTGCTCAGCCCGGGCCTGGGTGCAGGCACAGGAAGTGTCTTTCTTCTGCTCTGTGAGCCCATCTTCTCAAGCATGGGTCCATGCTTTCTCCATTCCAGCGTCCCTCACAGCATCAACTCTATGCCTTGCAGACAGCGGACACGTAATACAGCCACGCAGCGTGAACCTGAGCAGACCTCTCTTTTCCAGGATGTGCACGGTGTCCATGACAGTGCCCACCGCAAGCCTGATGGCCTCACCAGAGACGTAAAGCAGATGCCAGGAAACGTCCCCCAAACGGGCTGGCTTGCTAAGCCCAGGACCGCCTGTCCAGCTGGGGCTGGGGGCAAGGATCCCATTTTCTGTGGCTCTTTTTGCTCTGATGGTCAGGTTCGCCGGCTGTACGTGTAATCTGAAGCATTCGGTAGCGATCTAATTAAATGTTAACACATCATTAAAGTGATTTGCGATAAGCACAGTTAACAGTTTGATAAATCCAGTCCGGGCTGACTCCATGCTGAAAACAATCACTCCCAATCAGGAGTGGGCTGTTGACATCCGCTGAATGTTGAGGGGACCTCCGTACAGCTGCCATGTGCCCAGCCCCGGCGTCGGTGCCCAGGGACGCTAGAAGGGCTGTGTGCGGATGTGAGGTGCTGTGATGGGGTGAGGGCAGCAGTTAATCCCAGGGCCGCTGGTGTCTGGGTGTCCCAGCAGCAGCCTGCACCCCTTGCATGGGATTAAGGAAGATCTTGGTTAACGCTCTGTAATGAAGGCGGCCTCCCGGTTGAAGGCTGTGAATTATTGCTTGTTAATGGGATTAATTGCCTCGGGAAGTAACTCTGCATTTCTGTGCATCTGGTGATGTGGGCAGAGGGATAAGAGTTATTTTTGTTTGAATATCAATACCGTGAGTTGGAGGCAGGGGAGGGATGGCGCAGGAGGGAAGCACGTTTGCTCAGGGGAGACAACAGCTTCAGAAAATACAAATGGCCTCATAGCAAAGCTCTAAATAAAGGACACATAGAGAAGTCCCGAAAGAGCAAAAGGGGCCCGCAGAAGATCAGGGCCTGTGGGAGCTGGATGGCACTGAGACTATCTTAGTGAATCCTCTTGACAGCCAGGGAAACTGAGGCCCAGAAGGAGAGACAACCTCACTGTGGAGGTGGGGAACATTAGTGCCAGGGTGGGCCTGGAAGCTGGGGAGCCATGTTGCTGGTGAGCAGGTGCAGGCTGTGTGTCCGGAAGGCTGGGCATGGGGTTCAGCTGAAGACTGGTCCAGGGCCCCAGCGCCCACCGCCTGGTGGAGTGGAGTGAGCATGACAGGGGGTCAGCGCCCTGGGAGTGCCTCCCCCACCCCCTCCTCGCGTGGTCCGGCCTTGCTGCGTGATTCCAAATTCCCAGAAGTGATGTCAAAGATTCTGATCTGACCTAAGGCTCACTTTTCAATTGCTAGGTCACTCGCCAGCGAGTTCAATTTGGCTGAAAGATAATTTACATAGCACCAACCATGTACCAGGCACCTCGGTGCGAGGACATTCATGGTGCCTTCCTCTCTCATCTCCACTTGAGACTCCACTCCAGGGAGGGGGCACCACCTTGCTCCCTCCTGGACTTGGCCACATAGGTCTTGCAGCAGTGTGACCTGTGCTGGGACCACACACATCACTCCTGACACCTGGGAGCACTGCACCCTCATCTCTCTGGCTCCTGCTCATTCCTCCTGTAGGTCACAGCTTCAATGCTGCTCTCCAGAGAAGCCCCCCTGACTCCCAAGGCTGGACTAGGTGTCCCCATGTGGTCCCCTGCAGCCTCCACACTTTGCTTATCCCCCTTCCCTTCATTGGCCTATGTCTTTCTTACCTGACTGTGCACCACTGCCAAGGCTGCCCAGCCTTGAGGCCAGGGCAGGCTACTTCTGGAAGCCCCAGTTTCCTTATCTATAAAATGGCAGGAGAATAGCCCCTACCTCACAGAGCCTTTATGAGGATTAAATAAAATCATGCATGAGAAGCCCATAGTAAAGTGTCTGGCACCAGCTAGGGCCCACCGATGTTAGTGGTTGTCACTGGTACTGTTCTTAGCAGAGATGGTGTCTGTCGAGTTTGCACAGTGCTATCCCAGGAAGGGAATTGCCACTGTGGTCGCTTCTCTTGAGGAGCTCCCTCACAGCCCTCACAGTGAGAAGAGCAAACAGACCAGGACAACAGTGTCATGGCTGTGGGAAGGCAAGCCTGGGGTGGTGTGGAGCAGAGGAGAGAGACAGAAAGCTTTGTGGAGGTGTGTGCTCTCCTGCTCTGGGCCTTAAATCATGAAACAGGCAAGGGATATGGGAGTGTATGTGGATGTATTTGGAGGCAGGTGGAAGTCAGGGAGGGGGATATTCCATGCAAAGGAAACAGTATGAGTAAAGATAAAGAGGCCTGATGTTCTACATAGTTGTGAGCATTTTGGTGTCTCTGGTGCACAAGGTGCAAGGAAGGTAGGGTCTTATAGAGGACTTAAGGTGGAAAGAGACCATAATAAGCAGGAACTTGACATCTCTGCTAAAGAAGAGGAACTATATCCTATGTCATATACAGGATATGTGGTTTGTAAAGGGTTTTATCCAGTCTGACAATCTTGTACTTTTAGTTGGAAAATTTAGTCCATTTACATTTTATGTAATTTCTGATATAGTTGGATTATATTTGCCAACTTACTACTTGTTTTCTATTTGCCCTCCCTTCTCTCTCTTTCCTTGCCTTATTTGAATCAATCTTTTAAAAAAATATTATGTTGTTTTCCTCTATTAACTTATTAGTATTAGTGGTAACCTAGAGATGAAGATACATGTTATTCACTTATAATAATCCAATAAAAATGATTTATTTTACTACTTCCCTGATGCTGTTAGAGCCTTGAAACACTTTAGTTTTATTTACCCTTCCCATCTTTTACATGATCACTTTTCTGCCTTTTATTTATACATGTTTAAAACTCCATACTAAATTATTATGATTACTTTTGTGTTTTTTTGTTTGTTTGTTTGTTTGCTTTTGAGAGAGTCTTGCTCTGTCACCCAGGCTGGAGTGTAGTGGTGCAATCTCGGCTCACTGCAGCCTCCGCCTCCCGGGTTCAAGCAATTCTCCTGCCTCAGCCTCCAGAGTAGCTGGGATTACAGGCACTAGCCATGATGCCCAGCTAATTTTTTTTGCATTTTTGGTAGAGATAGGGTTTCACCATTTGGCCAGGCTGGTCTCAAACTCCTGTGGTCTCAAGTGATCTGCCAACCTCGGCTTCCCAGAGTGCCGGGAATACAGGCGTGAGCCACTGTCCCCTGGCTATTATGATTGTTTTAACAGTCAATATTCATAAGTATATTTATTATGCTTTACTTTTGAGACAGGATCTTGTTCTGTCACCCAGGCTGGAGTGTGGTGGCACAAACATGGCTCACTGCAGCCTCAATTTCCCCAGCTCAAGAGACCTTCCTGCCTCAGCCTGCTGTGTAGCTGGGGCCACAGATGTGCACCACCACGCCTGGCTAATTTTTAAATTTTTTGAAGAGATAGGGTCTCACCAACTTCCCCAGGCTGGTCTTGAACTCCTGAACTCAAGTAATCCTTCTGCCTCAGCCTCCCAAAGTACTGGGATTATAGCTGGGATTATAGGCATGGGACACTGTGCTCAGTCTACCCCACTCTTTTTTTTTTTTTTTTTTTTTTAAGTTCTTCATTCCTTCCTACACTTCTGTGCTTTAGCCAGTTTATTTTTCTTTGGCTACAGTACCTATTTTAGGTGCTTTTTTTTTTTTTTTAAGTTCTTCATTCCTTCCTACACTTCTGTGCTTTAGCCAGTTTATTTTTCTTTGGCTACAGTACCTATTTTAGGTGCTTTTTTTTTTTTTTTTTTTTTTTTTTTTTTTTTTTTTTTTAGTTCTTCATTCCTTCCTACACTTCTGTGCTTTAGCCAGTTTATTTTTCTTTGGCTACAGTACCTATTTTAGGTGCTTTTTTTTTTTTTTTTTTTTTTGACAGAGTCTCGCTCTGTCACCCAGGCTGGAGTACAGTGGTGCAATCTCAGCTTACTGCAGCCTCCACCTCCTGGGTTCAAGTGATTCTCCTGCCTCAGCCTCCTGAGTAGCTGGGATCACAGATGCCTGCCACCATGCCTGGCTAATTTTTGTACTTTTAGTAGAGATGGGGTTTCACCATGTTGGCCAGGCTGTTCTCAAACTCCTGACCTCAGGAGATCCGCCTGCCTTGGCCTCCCAAAATGCTGGGATTACAGGTGCGAGCCACTGCACCTGGCCTTAGTATTTCTTTTGATGCAAATATGCCAGTGACAAAAAAATTGTTGTTTGTCTAAGAGTATTGCACTTTTATTTTAAAGGATAGTTTGGCTATAGAATTCAAGGTTGACATGACATTTCTTTCAGTGCTTTTAAAAGGTCATTCTATTGTTTTCTAGTTTCTATGGTTTTCTTGAGACATCAGTTTGTTTTCTCATAACTGTTTTCCTAAAGGTAATGTGTATAATGTATTGTTTTCCCTCCTGGATGTGTTTAAGATTTTCTCACTGTATTTTTTAAAAAGATTTTTCTCTGCCTTTTTTGTCTTTTTCTCCCCTCAGCAGTTTTACTATGATGTGTCTAAGTGTATTTGGTTTCATTTTGTTCTTTTGTATTTCTCCTGGAAATGCCAAAATAAAAGGGTTAGGATTTGCAGAGCCTTTTGAATTTGTGAGTTTATTTCTTACAACTAACTTTCTATTTTATGCCAATGTTTTTTCAAATTTTCCTCTCCACGATTGTCTCAGTTTGCTTGGCTGGTGTAACAAAGTGTCATAAATTAGATAACTTAAGCAACAGACATCTGTTTCTCACAGTTATGGAGGGTGGGAGGTCCAAGACAAGATGCTGGCCAATTTGATTCCTGGTAAGGGCCGTTCTTGTGATTTGCAGATGGCTGACTTCTTGCTGCATTGCCACATGGTGGGAAGAGAGAGATTTATTTTGTTTCTTCTTATAATGGCATTAATGCCATCATGAGGGCTCTAATTACCTCTCAAAGGCCCCATCTCCAAAAACCATCACATTGGGGCTTAAGCCTTTAGCATGTGAACCGGGGCAGGGAGACAATCCAGTCAGTAGCACCTATTCTCTGTCTCTTCTCCTTCTGGAACTCCAGTTACAAGTATATGAGACATCTGTATATTGTCCTCCATGTCCCCTATGCTCTTTTATGCATTTTCTGTTATTTTTTTCTCTGTGTGAAATAATTTAGGTATTCTCTATTGACCTGTCTTCCATTTCTCTAATCCTGCCTTCTGCTGTGTCTATTGTGCTATTAATCCATCTATCAAATTACTAACTTTAGACTTTTCATTTTTAAATTTTTATTTGTTTTTTTTATAGATTCCAATTCTCTTTTGAAATATCCCTTTAAAAATCTATTTGTTCCATAATGAACTCTTTTCAAGTATATATTAA